TTTTAGGATGTAGATGGCGCTGTTAAAATATGACCGTCTAAATTCGGGACACCCTGTAGATCGAATTCGTAAATATCTGGACAGGGATTCTTATGTGCGAACCACATACCTTGATTACTATACGGGGCAAGAGATAGGCCCGACACGCACAACATAGGGCGCGGCCATTTTGAACCCTATGACACAGTTTATAGCTAAAGAATCAGATCGCTCACTCTGCGTCGGCACTTTTTATCTCAATGTTCCAGTTTATACACTGCGTAACTCAGATAATACAATATATGACAACCGCCTATAATAAAACAGCAGTCTTCTGCGTATCCTGAATTTGTATCCCTGGAGTGGATGTTATTTTGGAACTTTCAACTGGTCCGAGTGAGCTAACTGATTCTTTAGCAATAAACTGTGACTCCAAAAATAATATTCACTGACACTGACAGCAGCAAGCAAAATGTCAGGTGCGTTTTAATCATCCGCTTCTGCTTCCGGAATTGTCTGTTCAGTCGTTCTAACCTGTCAGATTGAAACAAGAAAACCGACAATTCCGAAGCAGAAGCGGATGATTAAAACGCACCTATTAAAAATATTGCGCCAAGATGTAGGCAACACGTAATAAGGGTTCAAAATGGCGGAGTTTTCTATCTCCTTTTAAAAGGCACTCAGAAAGCTGCACAGTGCGACCATTCTCCGTATAGTAAAAGAAAATCAAAGTATGTGGTGCGAACTCAATACGTTACGTGTTGAATAGAGAGAGACATTACATAAGAATCGCATTCAGTCGAACGAAGACAGAGGCTTCTCAAAGATGAGAATCCCACTGCTGATATATATGTTACGGGCAGTATTGTAAATTGGGCATTGATGATATCGACCGGACACTAACGTCAGCAGCCATATTTGCTGGCCAATATCGTTATTATCTGGGCAGTAACGAAAATGCCCATTAATCGTGGACAATGTTGATAATATTTTTTGTTTACATCTTTGTCTGGTCATTATCGACATCGACCATCAATTAGTGGACAATGTTGAAAATATATTATTTTTTGTTCTTTGTCAGGCCATTAATGACATTGACTATCAATAAGTGGGTGAAGTTGATTTTAAAGAATTAAGTTGGTACTGTGACTTAAAATTTTTGACAGTGACTAGCAGTACATTAGATGTATGCGCTTTATTTGTACATCGGTCTCCTTTTGACAGAGTAGGTGAGCTGTGTCCAGGCCGTTGGTGTTTATGCCGGTCGGCGTAGCCAGGTATGGATTAAAATTTTCTGGTGGCGGCTAAAGCCGCCACCCTACGAGAACTCGTTGCTTCGTCTTCTTCTTGTCACGGCATTATTACTATTATTTGTTCATGTATGTGAAATTTGCTTCTAAGGTTTATAAAATACTACAGAAAAATACTTAAGTCTTCCACTCCATCATCTGAAATAAAGTTAGCTTAGAATTATGATGTACAAATAATGGGGGATACATCCGATGTACAAATAATTCGTGTACATCCGATGTACTGCTAGTCACGGCGAAAATTTTTATTTTCAACTTTGGAAATATCCAATCAATCGCCCGCGCGGAAAGCCAGAGAATAGCAATGTAAACAAAAACATAACCCTGTATTTTATTCAAATCCAAATCGTTGCGGTTTGCGGCCCATACATAAGTGGGCGCTAACGATAACGCCCGGGCAGAGTCGTAAAAAAGCTCTCATTTATAGTTTATCAACATTGTCCAATTTAAGCGGATGTTTACGTTATTGGCTGGTTATTATCAATTATGCCCAATCAAATAGGAGATTTACGACAATGACCGACCAAAATATCATCTTTGACCCTAACATCTATAAATCAAACTTAGACTAGGTATTACCTAGCTCCGAGCAGTAATTGCTCGGAGTTACCTAGTCTAAGAAATCAATTAGGCATTCCAAACAAAATGGCTTCCAGTAGATTTTGACAGGTTATGATATGGCAACCCTGTAGGCCTGGTGATTTGACAGGGTCAATGAAATAGATGATCATATAGATTGATCAGCCATGTTTATCAAAATGAACATAAGCTTATGCTTGAAGCAAAAATGTAGGTAATTATTTTTTTACTATATTCAAATGCTTAAAATTGGTTTGTAAACACATTTTTGCTAAACCGATTCTGATTAATGAATACTTGCGAAGCAATATGGCCACTTGCAAACGACCCGCTTTGAGCAATCTATATAACTACATATGTATCATTGACCCTGTCAATGACAAAAGGTCCAGGGTTGTCATATCTAAACTGTCAGTTCCACTAGCTGAGTTCGGTTATCTGACTCTTTTTACTCCTTTAGCTCCGCGCTTCTTTAATCCGTTATCTTATTACATTAGGAGTAAATGGAGTCAACGGAGTATTCTTTAAATAAGTTCAGTTTTGACAGAGTGGATTAAAAAAGAGTTACGCCATAAACACCACCTATGAAGACTAGAGATAAGGAGGCGAATCGGCATACTCAAAATCTCCGAGCAATTGCTCGGAGCTCAAAATACGGTCCCAAAAACGCACGCTAATTGAGCTTTTATTATTAACCGCATGGGCGCTAGTACAATTATATAATTAGGCATTCCAAACAAATGAATTGCCAGTGGGAAGGTTTGGTATATCTAAGGGTGGCGACATACGGTGTATTCTATCTACTTTACGTAAAATCATGAATAATGGATTACATTTAAATATTTTATGTCAAACACAATAAAAATAATATTTAAAAAACCTACCTATACAATTCTTCATAAATTGGCAGGCTTGGCGACTACTACTTCGAATAAAAATAGCGTCCAAGTTGCAAGACTATGTCGCTACCCCCCCTTAGATATACAAGAATTTCCCACTGGCACATATTGTTTGACAGGTCGTTGGAATGCCTAATTGATGAACTTTGACAGTTTGATAGAATTGTAAGTTTTTGAAGACAAGTCTCAAAAAATAATAATAAATAAAAGATTGCATTCATCGTGAATTGAACCACTTCAAATTCAAATTTGTCTGCAAGTTCAATGCTTAACAAATTGAGCCAAGTCAAGACAAGTAATTTATCTAATCAAATATGTGTATTTAAAATTAAAAGCAGTGAAAAACGACTTACAGAAGTAATTTACTGAGGCCCTTCCTATGGGGCCTCAGTATTGCATTCGTGCAGACGAAAAAATTTTCTGCGCAGCTTTCTGAGTGCCTTTTAAAAGGAGATAGAAAACTCCGCCATTTTGAACCCTTATTACGTGTTGCCTACATCTTGGCGCAATATTTTTAATAGGTGCGTTTTAAACATCCGCTTCTGCTTCGGAATTGTCGCTTTTCTTGTTTCAATCTGACAGGTTAGAACGACTGAACCGACAATTCCGGAAGCAGAAGCGGATGATTAAAACGCACCTGATATTTTGCTTGCTGCTGTCAGTGTCAGTGAATATTATTTTTGGAGTCACAGTTTATTGCTAAAGAATCAGTTAGCTCACTCGGACCAGTTGAAAGTTCCAAAATAACATCCACTCCAGGGATACAAATTCAGGATACGCAGAAGACTGCTCTTTTATTATAGGCGGTTGTCATAAATTGTATTATCTGAGTTGCGCAGTGTATAAACTGGAACATTGAGATAAAAAGTGCCGACGCAGAGTGAGCGATCTGATTCTTTAGCTATAAACTGTGTCATAGGGTTCAAAATGGCCGCGTCCTATGTTGGGCGTGTCGGGCCTCTCTCTTGCCCCGTATAGTAATCAAAGTATGTGGCGACCATTCTCCGTATAGCACATACTTTGATTACTATACGAGGCAAGAGAGAGGTCCGACACGCCCAACATAGGGCGCGGCCATTTTGAACCCTGTGACACAGTTTACAGCTAAAGAATCAGATCGCTCACTCTGCGTCGGCACTTTGGATCTCAATGTTTCAGTTTATACACTGTGCAACTCGGATAATACAATATATGACGACCGCCTATAATAAAACAGCAGTCTTCTGCGAATCCTGAATTTGTATCCCTGGACTGGATGTTATTTTGGAACTTTCAACTGGGCCGAGTGAGCTAACTGATTCTTTAGCAATAAACTGTGACCTTAATAATAATATTCACTGACACTGACAGGAGCAAGCAAAATATCAGGTGCGTTTTAATCATCTGCTTCTGCTTCCGGAATTGTTGGTTTAGTCGTTTTAACCTGTCAGATTAAAACAAGAAAACTGACAATTCCAAAGCAGAAGCGGATAATTAAAACGCACCTATTAAAAATATTGCGCCAAGATGTAGGCAACACGTAATAAGGGTTCAAAATGGCGGAGTTTTCTATCTCCTTTTCAAAGGCACTCAGAAAGCTGCGCAGTGCGACCATTCTCCGTATAGTTAAAGAAAATCAAAGTATGTGCCGTATAGTAAAAGAAAATCAAAGTATGTGTATGCGAATGACTCTTAAATGTCAAAAGGTTTGTTCCAACCCAACAGAAAACCGTACATCGTACGGTCATCGTCATGCGCAGTAAATAAAGTCCGTTCCATCCGAGAATTGACGATTCATTGTATCGTGCGGTTAGCGTTCCAACCAAACATGGGACCGTTGGGGAATCGGTTTCTGTACGGTCCTTTCGATACCAAACTAAAAGTTTGTATCGCTTGGGTTGACATGCGCACTGCGCACACTGAAACGAGCAAGGACCGTCTTTTTGTTTGGATTTGACGTTTAATACTTGGTGGTGTTTACGTTTTTAAATTAAATTGTTTTTCAGATTTTCTGCTTTATGTTTGTTCTTGGATAGTACCTAATTTAATTATGAGTGATGAAGAAGGTGATAATTTTCTCTCAGACTTATCGTCTAGTGAAGATGATTTAGAACTTGCTCTAAATGAACATATAGTTAAAAATGATAACTATTTAGGTAATTCCTATTTCCCACCAACTGAAATTGTCAATTCCAAACATAGAATTTATTAAAATTTTATAATTTCCTATTAAGTTGTTCGTTTTTTATTTCAGACTTCGCCGTCGCATGGAGGGCTATCGGCGGCGGCAAAACGACTGCATGCCGCGCTTCGATCAGTCGTTCAACGGTCTGTGCGAGCAGAATCTACAAGACACGTTGCACCTGAAGCAGCGCTATCTGGACACCAAGGCCAAGAGAGTACCCAAGACCAAAGAAAAAAAGCACCAGGACTCTTCGATACAGAGCAGTGTGCACGTTGTAAGTATTTTATTCATTAATTTTCCTAGTGAAGTATGACGAATTTGAACTCGATGGTATTAACTTAAACATAGAAAATAGTATTATATACCTAGGAGTTCCTTTAATCTACAACTTAAGTTGTAATATTAATAAATGTCTGCAAATGTTAGTTTTTCAATAGAGCTACTCACAATTTCTAACATAAATAAACAAGTATTGTTCGTTAGTCAGAAGTATTTGGAATATGCTTCGTGTGTATGCCACCAACACAAATTCTTACGTTATATTACTTAAAAAAAAAGGTATTAATGTAACTAATATTGATTTTACAAATCTTAAATCAGAACTAAACCTTCTACCAATCACAACTAGACGCATCTATAAAGATCTTACACAATACTGTGCGATATAGCCATCATATCCACTCTTCGGCTCTATGCTGGAACAGAAAAGCCAACATCTAGCCTTACGGATATGGCCGAATTCATAATTAAAGTGTATGTCCCAATGTGGTTTAATATTAAACTAAATTTCAGTTCCACTAGTGGTAGTTTGCATGTATTTAAAACGATTGAACTGTCACGGTATTTAAGAGATGATTTAAAAAGTATTGTGGATGCAGTAATCCAAAAAACGCGTATTTTATACAACCCGAAAACATTCTTTTGTGTATACTATCAGACACTCGTGAATGGGTTCGGGAACTATCTCTACGAAGAATCTTAAATGCTAGAAAAACCAGTCGAGAAACCGTTGAAGTAAGACGCTTTGTGGTATAAAAAATTAATTTCAGTGCTATAGACTACTTTGAGTTAATTTACTGCAATGAGTGCGATGGGATTTTAATGATGATAATCTTAGGGACCTTATAAACGAAACCGAAATTCCAGACTTTGATTTTCCGAAGTTTTCCGATATTTGTTTTGTAAGCTTTTATGTTTGATTTGTTAGCATTTTAGGTTTGATTTCTTTAGGTACTTTTTACCATTTTTTAAATAAATGTGTTGTTTAGTTTTAATCGTGTAATATTTATTTGTTGTTCAAGTAATTTTTACCTTGTATTTTAACGACAAAAGGATTAAACATTGGTTAAAAGGGATAGTAGAGGGCTGAAGATGTTATTTATAAATAATAAAAACAAAGAGTGTGAATACAAATACTAAAATGTAAAGGTACGTTTACCTCTGACATTTATTGCATAAGATTTATGTCTGACAGATGTTTAGTCCAGTGTAAACACACAAAAATTTCTCTCGGATATATATGTTTGAGTGTTTACACTGGACTAAATAACTGTCAGACATAAATCTCATGCAATAAATGTCAGATGTAAAGGTACCTTAACTTTCAGTAGTACGTATTATACATCAAAATTTAACTTTAACTTTTCACCCCTAAAGGCTGAAAATGTGGATTTAGAAATTTTCAAAAAAATTACGAAAAGTAAGCACAACAAAATGCAAGTCTTGTTAGGTATTGTAAACTTATTTTTTATATTTTTAAAAAATATGCGTATTTCGGCCCAGCCTACTGTACAATATTACAAATTATCACATACTATGTTCACATTTGCTCAGTAAAGTAGGTATTCATATCCTAGACTAATTCACCCTATCTTCATACATCTTAAATAAAAAAATAAACAGTCATTTTCTTGATTAATTATGAACATGTTATGTTATGTTGGGAATGGGGTGTTAATACACTGCGACCTAAAAGATCTATTGTGCCCCCTTCTGTCGCTAATGCACCAAGGAAATGTCTCAATGCCTATAACGAACCTTCCAATCCTATCTTCTCAAGGAAGTGTAGGATTTGGAGTGGCTTCAAGTTAGGTAAATCTCCACCTTCTATTTGATGTCTTCCTAGGTATAGTTCCATTGGATTCTGGAGTGCTACACATTCAGTTAGAATGTGAATGGAGGTTTCGTCCTCCTCCTCCTCCTCACAGAATCTGCCCTCACTATACACTACTACTCTCAGTTTGCTAAGGTGTCCTTATAGTCGGCAGTGCCCGGATGCTAATCATAACTACTGCCCGGTAAGGATCCCTGTTATAATACGTAGCCTGTTCTTGCTCAGGCAGATGCAGGCTTCCGATCTTTTCTGGTTATATTCACCCAGAAGTATCTTATCCTGTCTCAGCCCCAAGAGATTTTTCCAATTATCGGATCTTCTACTGCCCAATTCTTTTTTAATCTCTCCTAATATTATGTTACTGCTGATACCGCAGAACGGCTCAGGTCCTACAAAGGGTGTATGAGCCCCTTTCCTTGCAAAACTATCTGCAATCTCGTTACCCTGTACCTCGTTATGTCCCGAGACCCAAGTGAGAGTAACTCTATTTTTCTCGCCTAGCTCATTCAATTATTCTAGGCATCTCCAGGCCATTTTTGAGCTGATTACGTAAGAGCTCAGCGCTTTGATGGCTGCTTGACTATCGGACATGATGATATTCTCTTGCCTATGATAGTTTCTCTTGAACTGGATACACTTCTCGATGGCGTGAATTTCCGCCTGGAAGTTGCTTGGGTATTTTCCCAAGCTTTCGGAGTGCTTGGTTCTCGGCCCATACAACTCCTATTTCAGTTCCTTTTATGGTTTTGGAACCGTCCGTATACCACTGAATAGCATGTCTTTCGGTTGCAAGCGCGATGGATTCTTATCTCCATTCTTTCTTGCAGCCCAGCTCTGTGGTTTTGAAGTTTTTCACAAAACTGTACTTTAGCATTTCATCCTGGTCCCAGGTATCTTTAGTCCTGAAGCAAGTAGACTTTCGTCTGATTACTCCGGTCCTGATCATTCTATATCGTGTCCTTTATGCCACATTCTCTATCATCAAATCAAAATATATAAAATGCAGCCGTAGCGCAGGTTCTCATTGCACCGTGATGCAAACACAGGCTAGTCTTTGTACTTTTGAGATATTAGCTCTTGTAGTAGCTAAACTAGTTCTGTTACTCCAGGCTATAGCCCCGTAAGTGATGATTGGTCTCACCCTTGCAGTATGTTTGGGTTACATCCCCATCGTTTACCCGCAATGTTTCCGTATACCATTAGGGCCTTATTTACTACTTCTCATGTGCGTTTCAGAGAAGTTTGTTGTCTAGGGTTAGGCTTAGATATTTGACTTCATTTTTTCATTCTATATCTATCCCGTCTAATTTAACGGTTGTGAGATTAAGTTTTCTTTTCCTTGAAAAGGCTACTAGTGTTGTTTTTGTAGGGTTTATACTCCCACTTCACAGCACCATCTTTTGGTATGTTTTAGTCCTCGTTGGACTATATCACACAGGATATTTCTAAATTTGCCTCTAGCAAATATGACTATGTCGTCGGCATAACTTTGACATGGTATACCGTCAGTCAATCTGCATAGGAGTTCGTCTACGGTTAGGCTCCACATTAGTGTGAATAGAACTCCTCCTTGTGGACATCCTCTGGTTATGCAGATGGAGATGGTGTCCTGCCCTATCTGTGTCTCTGTAGTTCTCGTAGATAACAGCTGAGCCATCCATCTGGATGTGATGTTATCTACCCCTCTGTATGCAAGTGATCCTTTGATAGATTCGTGTGGCGTGTTGTCAAAATAATTATAAACATGATTTTCTAAAAAGTGATTGAGTAGGTGATGCAGAACTATATCAAAAATTATTAATATATGTACAGGGCGCTATTTAAAATTTTTAATTGTGGAGATTGGCACTAGGGGTGAATATTTAGGGAATGATTTCTTCTACGTCATATTAAAATGTTTAAAAAAATAATAGGAATGGTATGAATTAGTTTTTGTCCCACTCGAATATCTATTAATTTATGAATAAGCCTAGATAAATTAGTCTGGGACACTCTGTATACACAATAGATATCAAGTGTGATACATTGTTGAAATCAGCTCGTCGAGGGATTTTATAAATGTAAAAATATACAGGTTGTGGATTTCATTGTTAAGAGCAAACCAACTACACAACTTATAATCAATCAGTCTTACCCCCCTAACTAACTCGTTACTGGAGTCTTGTTAGGAAAATCGCCTAGACAGGTCGATTTTTGTTTTCTACAATGTACATTTTTGTATGATTAGTTTACCCTTAATTTCATCCCTTACTGGAGGGGAACAACCCTTTCGAAAAATTTTAATGGCATGGGGTGGTGAGTGATAGCTCATTTGAAAGAGGGTTTTATTCTCTATTCAACCGTGCAAAAAAAATTTAAATTTGCTTCATTACGTGTTGATTTATTAATGTTTAAAAATAACAAAACCTCTCAAAATAGGAAGGCAACTAAACTAATAGTGACCTTCTAATGGCAAAAAGTCTTACTTCACGTCTGAACCAAAACCGAAATCATGCAGGGCCGAATTTTAATTCTAAGGATGAGTGCGCTACGTTAATTTCCGTTATTTTGAAACAACAATTAGTCGAGAATTAATGAAGCAAATTTCAAAATTTTTTACATGGTTGAATAGAGAATAAAACCCTCTTTCAAATGAGCTATCACTCACCACCTCATGCCATTTAAATTTTTCGAAAGGGTTGCTCCCCTCCAGTAAGGGATGAAATTAAGGGTAAACTATTCATACAAAAATGTACACTGTAGAAATCAAAAATCGACGTGTCTCGGCGATTTTCCTAACAAGACTCCAGTAACGAGTTAGATAGGGGGGGTTAGACTTATGGTGCTCACGGTATAAATGGCCAAGCGTTAAAAATGTCGCCATCTAATCGATCACTGCTTATGTAGACTTGTTAGGTATGCCGATTAGAGCTATATTCGGCTGATTTGGTCACTGAATAAATTATCGGTATGATACTTATTGACGTGGTTAGTATATTGACCACAGCTACTTAAAGGGTTAAAACATGCAAGACTTATTTAGAAATTAATACAACAGTATGTTCTGTGCTTTATTTAGCTGTAAACAAGTTTATGTTTATTATTTTAACAAAATTATGTATAATTCCCATAAGAAGTCATGTATTTTGAACAACGTATGCAGTACCAGCGCTTATGCGGTT